ATTAAACTAAAATGTTAAATTGTCTAGAGAAATTCTGGCAAATAATGATCCGCTTTGACATTTTTATTTTGTACGTAATGGTTTGTGCATCGGAAAAGACAACATTCATTAAAATTTTGTTCAACAAAGTAACAATTACGCTATGCCATAGATTTCTTTAAATTTTGTTTATTAATTCGGTAATATACAGTGTTATTTACGTTTGAAAGAAGCTAAACAAAAAAGAATACCGCTGTGTTTTATTTGGCAATTTTATTCAAAAATAAATAGAAAAGTTCATAAAAACATATGCTCGTAAATTCCAAATTTTCAAATTAGAAAATGCTCCTTTTTCCGATCATATTCTGGCAGTTTCTGCGGTACTTGTCAGTTCTTCTTTTCAGTTTTCAACTGCAAACTTTTGTTGCAGTTTCTTTGAAGTTTCTTGCATTTTTTTAATCGCAGTTTTTGAGCTCATTACTTAATGCTGCCTAATAAAATTTTACAAGCATTAGAAGACAGTCAGAGCTTACCGCGCATGAAATTAAAAAAAATGGCAATAAATCAGACAAATACCTACTTTCAAAATTTGAAGTAAATCTGAAACACCGCAAAATTTTTGTTGGAACAACAATATAAAAATTAACTAATTTTATATTTTTCATCTATTGCAATTACATTTGTTTTTCTGCTGCACGTACGGAAACTGCAGAGCACTTCAATAATTAGCAGACGTTCAAAGAATTGGAACCAATTTTTAATGAGATAAAAGAGCTTTTATGAATAAAAAATTGATTAGAAAAGAATTGTTGAGGATGTAGGAAAAGAAATGAGTTGTTTAGCAAAGTATTGTATAACTTATTTGGTTAGAACATAATTTGTCATTTTCAAAAGTTTATCAGAAAAAACACAAGATTTATCAGTGAGTTTTGGTAAAGTTCGATAGATAGAACTGTATGATAATACGTTTTCTGAAGTTTAAACATGGCTAATATGTGACTTGCCTAATTTACAAAAATAGTCGATGGAAAAATAATGTTTCCAACATTCCAACAAAGATAAATTTCCACTTTAATATCAACAGTTTTAAACCCATTTATATGGTATCTTGAAAGCAAGCAAATAAGCTGCATTCTGCTCGTCTAAACTCCCATGTTAATTCGATGGGTTGTTCAAACCGCTTAGCACCACTGTTTCTCGCTTTAACAAATATAACGAAAAGAGATAAATATAAGTTTGACCAACTTCCTGAAAAAATCGTTAACCCCACCAGAAGAACGCGCCTCAGGCCTCCAGCTTTGTTGTCTGAAATTTTTTTTACTCTTCACTTTTTATTTCTTTAATTCCAAATGTAGAATCTTGATTTGTTTTGCCACTGAACAATCAATTATCGAAACTCAATGTTGTCCGTGTTTGGTTTTATTGTTTCTTGCAATTAAAGACAGTTGAATACGCACTGATCTTTGGATGGTAAAATTATAAGAATTTTATGTTTAGGTGCAGATAAATTAGTGACTATTTAAAATATTAATAATTTCGTTGAAGCTAATTTATTGAAGTTTAATTAAAATTTTTATTAACGATGCAAACGCTATTCTTGTTATGCCTTAAATCTGACGAGTTTTATAAATATTACCTAACAACTTACCACTGCATTGAATGCTAAATTCCAGTGGAAGTAGCAAACTTACCTGAAACAAAGGAAAAGTGTGTTTGAAAACCAATTTAAATAATCGTCGTTGAATGGTTGATCCAGATCACATTTTTGTGCTAAATATGCAAAATAAACTTTCTATTCTGAAAGTGAACTAAAATGCTTACAAAAGAATTCTTGATATTAAAAACCTTTTTATCCAAATCAAAACACGCAACCCTGATTTGGTGCCAATGTACTGAGTACGTTGCTATTCCTCGTCCAAACCAAGTACTCCTTAGAATATATCAAAGCGTAACAATATCCATATAAGTTCCTTTCATCTAATCAAAGCCATTTAAATTTCAAACTTGCTACTCAAGTCATGACCGTTAATGCAAAAATTATTGTAAAACGATGATGTTCGATTTCATGGATTCACTTTCACGTCCTTAGGATCATTTTTAATGGACTTTTACTTTTACGCTGATGTTTATTTTAGTGCGACCATAAGGAAGCTGACAATGGTCAATTTATTTTACACACGACACACTCCTGGGTGGGGTACCATCGATTTTTCTTTAAGGGAATGTTTACGAAGATCGATCGTGTGGTTAGAAGAAGCTTTCGCTTTTTTGCAACTGATTAAATATTACGGTATAGTGAAAATACCAACCAAATGGCATAATATGGAATAAATTTAGAATTAATTTTATATTCTAGATCGGACTAAGGAGAAATGGTGCACTATTGAATTACTTAAACGAAGCATTAAAATTCAGCAAAAATTACATCACAGAGTTCACTGATCTTGCACGCATTGAATATATATTGAATATTATTTTTCTAAAATAGCCTAGTTATAAAAGAACTGGAGAACAAAAAAGATCTACACATACAACAAACAAGCATTATCCTATACGAGTACAACAAGCAAGGTTTTCTCTTATAAGCCAATAGTAATGTCAAGCGTCGTTTGTATCTAGGCCTAAAATGAAGCGAATATAAACGATTGTAAAACTGTATTAAGGAGCTTAACACTTGTAAACATAACACGGATGATTATTTGTATACATACATTAGAGAGCGTTCAATTGTACCACTAGAAAAACTTTTCTCAAGTTTTATTTATGTGTTACTTAAAACCTCAAAACTTGGTACGTTCGAAACATGACAACTATTGCCATTAATTTCCATTACTTTTTTCTTACTATTTTTGAAAAATTGGTTCGTTACTATATCGCAGTGAAAATAAAAGAATTTTTTAACTTTAAATTTGTAGCGCTTACTTTATAGTATATACATTTTAAAATCTGTAACAGATTATTGCACTATGCATCATGGTGCACAAGTGACATCATTCCATCCATATTTCAATAAAAATTAATACCTGAAACCGAGATTAATCACCGGCCAGCCTGATGGCTCAGAGAAAAATTCCTCGAATTCTTTCTCGCATGCTTTAACATCCGATGTGGCAATGAAAGCAAAATTTTGATAGGGAGAAGAATAAGAGGGGAATTTCGTCATAATTTTATGCATATTTGCTCTTTGATTTATTGTGACTGTTTAATACAGTTTCATAAAAGAGATATCTCGGAAGCAAGGTTGAAATAACAATAAAATATATTTTTTGTTTCCTTGATGGTGAAATGCAGATATTTTTCATATAGGTATTTACGAATTTATTTTAAATATGAATATATTTTCCTTACCGGTTTCCCGTGTCGATGTATGGGCAAGAATTTTCAATTGATTTCTTCTTCGGTCACAGGATAGAGCCCCTGACTATTTTAGAAAGAAACTATTAGCCACTTTTGCTAATAGGTGAATTGTCGGAAATGGATCAATATCTTGCCCGCTAAAGTCGCCAGATCTAAACCCTTGCAATATATTTCTCTGAGGTTTTATGAAAAGTTTAAAAATCGCAAGTAATCATACTTTCTCAAATTTTTCACATCAAGCAGGCTGTAGCAACAAACAGGGAAAACCGATTTTCTAATAACGGGTCGTTAAATTAATGGTGAGAACTTTGAATACAGTTTTTAAGTTGAACGAAATCGTGAACTTGTTTCATTAGAAGCTGATATAACTTATACCTATTTTAAGTTAGTTTTATATACAGTGGAAAAAAGTTTCGGAATCAACAAAGCTTTGGTCAAAGACTAGTGAATATTTGTTTTGAAAATAAACCAAATACAAATAAAACAAGCGGCTTGAAATTTTTGATGAGATTTCAGTACAGTGCAATGTTTCAAGCAAACTACCTGTGAAGATGCAAATCACTCGTGCTTGTAAAACGTAAAGAAAAATCTTATTAGAGTCCGCCCTAAAACTCGAAAAATCTTGCCAGCTTGAAGAAATGGCCACAAAAATCTACCTCTTTTGGTAAGTGTACAGGATACAAAAATATACTGCTAAAAGATGTGCCGTATTTTGTTGCTGGGAAATGGTTTTTCACATTTTAACTGTTTCAGCAAAAAGTTGTTATCA